GCTAGATAAGATTTTAACAACTCTGAGCTATTAGTTAAGTTCTCCCCAAGCGAGCTCGATGGGCCGAATGGCCTCCTCTCGTTTGTATAGTACTTATGTTCTTATGATTGTGATCATCTGGCCTCGGTCCCGCCTCCGACTCCACGTCGGCCGCCTGCGGGTCCCCCTGCTCCGGCGCGTTGCTGGACGACGCCTTTGCCAGCTTTGGCTGCGCCGTCGCTTGCGGCGGCTTCCCCCCCCCCTTGCCTTTGCTGGTGTCCCCTCCTGCTCCCTCCTCGTCTCCTCTGTCTGTCCCTCGACCTGTCTCCTTGCCCCCTGCGTGATCCCCTCCTGCTCCTGCCGCCTGCGTCCCCTCTGGCCGCCGCCCTTCGCCCGCCTTTGCTCCCTTGGGCTCCCCTTTGTCCCCCGTCCATTCCTGTCTGGCCTCCCTTGTCTGCTCCTCGTCCCTTTGTCCCTCCTGTCTCTGCTCCTCGTCCCCCTCTGTTCCTTCGTTCACTCCTGGCCCTTTTGTTCCGCCTGTCGGTGTTCCCCCGGTGTCTCCCTTCCTGGTCTGTCTGTCTGCGTTCCCCATCCTTTGTCAGGTTTTGTCTTGGTTTCTGCCCCTATGCTTGTTCTGTGTTTCTGTTCTGTTCCCCATCTCTCGTTGATGTTTTCAGTCTTGTTTTTCAGGTCCCGTGTCCCTCGTCTCGTCCGTCGCCTCCTCTGTGGCACGCCCAGAGTGCGCGCCCTTGAGGGGGGGGGGGGGTTCTGTCACGCCCGGCTCGTCCAATCCTCGTGTGTGCCACGCCCCCCTTGTTACCTCGTGTTAATTCCTGATTGTGATCACCTGTTTCCTGTTATTTCCGGCTTGTCTTGTGTATTTAGTCTGCGTCTGAGTCAGTATTCCCCAGATCTGTCATTAATGTGTGTCGCTGTCTGTCCTGGTCACGGTAATAAACCCGATTACTTGTGGACTTTCGCCTTCCTGCCTCGTCTTTCCACGCGATCCTAACAAAAGTTCTTTGAGCGTAGTGCGGAGACATTTTCGAAGTGGTTGCTCCCTGAGCTCCGCAATAAAATGACGTCATACTCTAAAGCACCGACTATATGTCATAAATTTACACTGCAATGGCATCTTTAAACCCTTTCCTAGCCAAGAGCATCCCACCAGGACTGTAATGACAATGGGAATAGCTGGAATTGGAAAAACAGTCCCTGTCCAGAAGTTCATCCTTGACTGGGCAGAAGGAAAAGCAAATCAGGATGTTCATTTAATGTTTCCTCTTCAGTTCCACGATCTTAATCTTGAAGAGGGTAAAAAGTTCAGTCTTATGGGACTTCTTCATCACTACTTTCCAGAACTAAAGAAAATGAAACTGTTTGAATTTCATAAATTCAAAGTTTTGTTCTTCCTTGATGGTCTGGATGAGTGTTACTTTTTTTTCTAGATTTCCATAACTGACGACTGTAGTGATATGAGAGGTAACAGAACTGGACGTCTCACTGACAAATCTCATTAAGGGAAGCCTCCTTCCTTCTGCTTACCTCCATCTTTCGGCGGTTCTCCACTAAATAATAATGAATTTCTGGTAGGCTACAGAAAAGTGTTGGGTTTTCTATACTCATACAGACACGAGACCCGACCAACTAGAACCCCCAGTTCACAGGAAAGAGTAAAGTCTTTCTATTGGGTTCTTATGGGGACTACCACTCAAACCCAAACCAACCCCCAAACATGGGGAGGTCTGTCGCAGTATAGTAAAGTACACACACGGTGGGTCATTTATACAATGGTAAAGACATACGAGGATTGGACGGGGTTCACGTGAGACATGGGCAAACACACACACGGCACCTGGGAAATACAACAAATATTAACATTATCAAAGAGGGGGTTATACATATGTCCCAGCATGATCAGCGAATCTCTCCGGCGCTACAACATTATCCGGCTGGACGATGTGTGATACTAAAACTAATATTACATCGCTAGTCAGATTAAGATCAGGCTTTTTCTTACTTTACATTCTGTATGGAAATGCAATGTAATGTCAATGGAAAAAGAAAAGTACCGAAGGTACCGTATCAAAAGTACGGTACCTGGTGCGAGAGAAAAGCATCCAAAGGTTATGGTCGGGTTTAACTCACTTCCAGATGTTGCAGTAATTTAGCATTTTCCAAATGCTAAGGGAGGGCAAAGATATTTGTTCAAAATACATATATAATTGAGTTGACAAAGTATTCTTTATTTTTAATTTGACCAACTTACACAATTAACTAAGATGGGAAGATGTAACAAACGTAAATTTTTATGTTGAGCAACATCTTTATTTTAAGTGTAAGTTACAATCCCCTTTAACCATTTTTAGAGTGTGTAAAGTTTGCATGTCTTTGATGTCCATCTACCTCTACCTCCTGTATCACCAGTTCATCACTGTCCATCTCTATTTCTTCACCTTCTTATATTGAGTTAACTTCAATTCTTCCATCCCTTCAAACACATGTGCTGTTTATGGGCACTAGTACAGTCAGTGAGGCTGTATAACTTTGCACACTCAGATAAATAGATCAAATGACTTCATTTTCATTTGACTTCATTGAGCTCATTTCTGTTGCTACCCGTTACTGAATGGGCAGGCAAAAGTGAGGTCAGAAAAAAGGCATAGCTCAAAACAAGGCAATCTGCAAGCAGATCCAAATCACAAGGCAGAATTTAAAAAAAAAATGTGAATGAAGCAAGAATCAAAACCAAGACAGCACTGGGCACCACACAAAGGCTGACAAAGTAACAACCCCAGGCAGGTAAATTTAAGGTTTTTGGGAACATAGCCCTCGATGAAGGACCCTGCGTTTAATACGAAGACAATAAATTAAACATATAATAAGGCTAATCTTTTTTTATGTCTGGCTTTTAAAGGAAATGAAATCAATTAACTTACCTGGTGTCTTTGGGAATTCATACTCCAGAGCAAAATACTAAAAAGATCTTAAAACATACTCAGAAATGTAAATTTTGCTCTTAAACATAAACATTCCACATTTTACAGATTTTATTTATAACGCAGAATTCTAACTCCCTGATGCGGCTTTATTTTTTTCCCCTAATACATCAGCAGCAGCAGCAGAACCAATTTCATATTTTCTTATAAGGCAACAGCGCCACCCAGTGAGCTTTCAGAGTCCAGCACACACACTGTACAGTGAAGCACACACTGCAGTGCAGTGCAGTGCTGTGGTAAAAACACCCCAGGAAAACGTAACCAGCAAATGTGGTTCATTTCAGTTGAATCGGATCACGGCAAATACAAAATGAGGAAAATCAAACCTTATTTCTCAGTTTGGGGTCGTGACTCTCTAACATTCCAATTCTAGAGTAAATCTCAATGTGTTTTATTTCTTTCTTTGAGATGTTAATTGAAGCTTCATCTTGGAACAACATGCTAAAGATGCCATTTTAATGGGGAATCGTGTCATACAATCTCTTGTTCTGATGATCTTTCTCGTCGTTCTTCCAGGCAGGAAACTCATGTTTAGATAGATCAAGTGAATGTCCAGGGTCCATGGACTCAAAATGAACCATTCAGGGGATACTGAACACTAGTACCTCAGCTAGAATCCTTCTGAAAAAAATAGCCCTAACTTAACAGTGGGATGAAGTTTAATGGCCATGATTTACTGTAGCTGCATGACTCCAGGGATCTGGATTGAGTTGTTTTTGGCAGAGATGGGGGGGGGGGTGTCAGGCTGTGATAGGAGGAGCAACTGGTCAGATTTCAGAAGTCAAGGAACTCCAGAAATCAATGACCCAAAAGTCTTCTCCTCCACTCAGTCCAGCACCATCATGGGCGCGACCCCAACCTCCTCGTCCCTGGACTGCGAATGCTGCAGCTCCCGCCTGACCTCGGCGGAGATCTGGGCATGTGTCTGGAACCTCAGCAGCTCCAACAGCGCCCCCTTCTGCTCGGAGGCCAGGTCCGCCTTGTAGCGCTGCACCAATGTGAGCAGGCTCTGGTGCCACAGCACAGGAAGGGTGCGCTTCTCCGTACGGAAGCGCAGGAAGTGGGCCACGAGCGCGTCCAGCACCCGGAAGGGCAGGGCGTACTTTTTGTCCAGCAGCAGCCGCAGGAAGATGCTGTTGGCGCCATTGTACTCCATCTCGGCCAGCTTCAGCATGGCGGCACTGGGGGCACGAGGGTTGGGTCATGTGAGAGGTCATGTGATTTAGGAACACAAAAACACGCGCCTGCTACCACCCCCCCCCCCACATACCTGGAGTACAGCACAGGCACAGAGCACTTGGTTAAGACGCTGCCGATGATGACGGCCTCCCGCAGTGTGCAGGTTCCCGACTCGCACAGCGGAACCAGGATTCCTGGGGGGTGGGCATGATGGTCACAGCCAGGCAGGGAAAAGCCAACGATAGCAGAAAGGCAATCTGAACCTCAATAAACTGGCCAATGCGAGACCAAAAGACAGCTATACATCCACAGGATCGTTCATAAAACAGTGGACAGATTCCCCCCCCACCCCATAACGGAGAATATACACAGTTCACAGGAGGAGTAGGCAGCCCTGATCCCGGAGTGCCGGTGTCCAGCAGGTTTTCCATCCTACCTGGTCTCTGATGAACCACAGCTGACCTCAGGCAGATAGGAACTCATCAGGTAGGATAGAAAACCCGCTGGGTACCGGCACTCCGGGATCAGGATCCCCTACCCCTGGTCTAAAGGCCTCTGTTCACATTAGCTGACATGAATGACGCTGCCCTAAGACATCTTTATGGATGCCCGTTTCAAGGAACCACGATGAAATCAAATACATAAATAAATATGGTTTAAACTTATATTAAAAGTGTGCAGATCTGAAGCTGGAGGAAGAACAGAAACACAGCTTCAGTTACAGGGGAAATATTTTTTAAATAAAAAAATTATACTGCCCTGCATGCATGTTCCCACCGCATCCCTGTTCCAAGCACATGAGTCCTGGGCAGAAAGCTTCTTGTGTGGCAAACGCAAACCTAAACACTCAGTTACTGCTCACCCTTAAACCAGGCCCCAGGCTTAAAGAACGCTTTCTTCAGCGCGCTGTACAGGTGGAAGTTGAGGCGCTTGTACTCAGCAATGTCGTCACGGATCCTTGGAAGCAGAACCAGGTTGTAGAAGCGCTGGGCCATCCGCTCCTTCAGATTGGAGGAGAAGATCCTGCGCAGAGTTCAGGGCTGGCTCAGTGTTACATGCTATAATCACACATTTCAGTTTCCCTGAAGCTCCAAGCCAATTTCACATTACATACTATTCATAATCAAGTCATTGATGCATTAGATAAAAGCTTATTTAATGTAGGGGCACTGAGAGGCTGGAGCCTGACCCAAGAAGCAAAGGGAACAAAGCAGGAGATGCTCTGAATGGGGTGATAGTTCTTACAGGGTGCAAACACACACACACACACACACACACACACACACACACACACACACACATACATTCTTGGCCATATGAATAGATAAACAAGATGCACACAGAGCCAGAACAGGAATCGAACCTGCAATGCTGGGGATGTGAAGCCGTAATGCTCCCCACTAATGACCCCTCCCATAACCAAGCCTTTCTAGACAACGACAAGCATGTCACCTTGTGGCCTGGTACATCGCGGCGGCGGTCCAGGTCTCCGGCTCGGTCAGGTACAGAACCTGCTCCCAGTTGGACAGGGCTGGGATGATCTTGAAAGCCTTTGGGAGCTTCCCACTCCGATACTTGGACAGGACCTTCACAAGCAGACAATACGTCACACCGAAGCTTGCAGTCCAGATACCACATGCCTCTTATTCAGTAGTTAAACAAAAATGCAAGGAATTGTTTTACGTCATCCATTCTAGCAGGAAGTTCAGTTGTCATATGATACATTAGAAGACACCAAAGATGCCAACCTCCTGAAAAGTTCACAATGTTATTTTTTTTTTACATTTATTTATTTAGCAGACTTTTATCCAAAGCGGCGTACAGATCAGGGACAGACACTCCCCAGAGCACCTATAGGCCTTTGCTCAAGGGCCCAACGGTGACATCACTCCACCAGCCATGGGATTTGAACCAACGTACTTCTGATCACAGACAGTCCTAACTTAGAGAGCAACATCACCCTACATTTTTACGCGATTTGGAAATAGCTTTGTAAGAGAGCATAAAAAGATGTGGAAAATGTGGAAAACCTGGTGAGAAGCTTAGGCCGACAGAGCGTTCTTCACAGCAGGACCACAGCAGACCACACACACACTGTGGGTCTCAGCTCACCTTGCTGACGCCTTTGTAAACCTCGATGACCCTGGCATCCATCTGTGGGAGGGGACGGCCCGAAATCTCAGACATCACGGTGCCCACCTCAGTCTGCTTCTCAGTAATCTTCTCCATGATGATGTCGGCTAGCGTTCGTCTGCATGGGAATTATAATAATTTCTCAGAGAAGCAGACTGCAAATCATATAGCTGAGCTTGTAAACATCTGCATCGGGTCTTTTCATATGCAAATTATGCATGAAAAATTTGGAATCTTATGAAAAGAAAACATGAATGCTTTATTTAATAAAGAACAATTTATACTAACAGAAAAAAAGTTAGAAATTATTTATATTTTACAAAAATGTCTTCTAAACGGACCTTACCTGACTGGTGGGTTCTTGTTCATAAACATCTGGATAGCTTTCTCATCCTCAGGGTCCACCTCAACTACAGACCCAAACTCCATGTCTTCACATTGCCCTTCTGCACCCAAAGACGGCCACTCTTCATCAGAATCCGCATCTTGAGACCCAGAGCCTGCGGAGATATATACATGTACACAGATGTATGTATGTGTGTAAATGATAGTAAGGGAAATAGCATTTAATGCACGTTAAGGCTGGAAAAAGAAAACAATGCAGGTCTGGATGATACTTTCTAGTAAAACATGGGAGAAAAATCCAGCTGAAATACTGTCGGGACAAATGAGTGTGCTGTTGTATAGAGAGGTCACTCCTGTATGCAGAAGTGCAACTGTTACCGTTGTATTTATTAAAGTGCGCGGGGTGTCACCGACGGCTAGGATAAAGCTGTACTTTCATTAATGTTGGGATACATAATAATCGCGTGGCCACATCAAAATAGCAATTTACATAAGCAATCAAGGAACGATGCTAGGCCTCGCAGTTTTTCAACTCACCTAAAACGGTGGAGGGCTGTTTCTTGGTCACCGAAGATGTACCAGTTCCATACTCGCTCTCAAGTTCTTCTTGCTGTATTCGCGCCTGCTGTAAAATCTTTCGCGACAAACGCTCATCCACGTACTCGTCCTCATCCTCCTGCCGGCGATCCCTGTTCTTCACCCGGTTAGTAGCCTTTACCGCATCTCCCTCAAGTATCTGATCAGCAAGAGCCAACGTCGGTACTTTTTTCTCCCCTCCGCCACCTTTGGATTTCTTCACTTTCGGCATTTCTGCAACTAACGTCACTTGTTTTAATGTAATTAGCACTAGACTGAATCAACGCACAAAAGCTTCAAATATACGCGTGCATTTAGCTGCCGTAAGGTGCCACGCACGTGCGCTGAAAGTCACAACCCAAAACTCAGCGCAGTTACCGTCATCATGGCGTCGCAATAACTGTCGTCATTAACATGTCTCAGGATTTGTTCGTCATCAAGATGTTGAACCATATATGATGCGAGGACAAACCGACAACAAGAATATTCTGTTGAATTTATGGAAAAGGGTAAAGTGAAATTTAAAACTACAATCTGTCATCGGTAACAACGACGGGGAGATGTTTTTTTTTTATTTTTAAATAAAATTATATATTGGAAGAACCTCTGGATATCTTAATTATATAGCTTACCTGGTTGAATTTTTACATATTACATATTTACAATATGCCTGTTATATAACCATTAAAATAAACATGAGATGGAAAATGCATGCTCCCTACTCAGAAACTTGTTTTATCTCCTCAAAATGAACTACAAATGTGGCATCGCCGGTCACCGGCGTCTTTGGACCTTCCGGTCGCGGAGTACGTAACTTCCTTCCGCAGAAGAGCAGCTCGTCTTTGAACTGGTGAAACATTAGTGGGGCTTAGAAGTCGTTATATCATAGGGATATGGGGGTGACTTGGTAAGTTTTGGAAATCAAAACTCGAATTTACATGCCGCTCTTAAAAAATCCATTATCTGTAACTAGGAGAGGGCTAGGAAAGAAAGAAGACTACATTCATATGTATGGACGTTTTGGATCTGGATTCCTTCATGGCATGAAAAGATTAATGTTGCATAACTATGAACATGTCAGAAAGCAGTTGGGTTGTGGAAATAATGACACTTCGTACGAGGACAGTTATTTTCTTGCTAACCTAGCAGGTCGTCGATAGCACGCTACGTGTGATTTTTTTCGAGTCTGTTGCGATCGTTCTGTATATGTGAAGCTTGTGCATGCGCGTGAATGTGTATATGTGGCTTTAACTGTCGATCTCCACATATTGACTCCTCACGTTGCTTTGCACATTAATAAGCTTTTATTTAATCTGCCATTTTTTAATTACGCGTATGTGTGTATATTTCCGCTTTTATGTTCCTGTTTTACATATACGCATACAGTTTTTGACAGTGCATGTATAAAAATTGTGTATAACTATTATATTATTAAATTGGTTGTGCTTCTTTGTTTCCTCATAGCAGCTTTTTTTCCTTTCAGTGTCTCCCAGGTTCCGGTGGCAGAGGGGAAGAGCGTACAGCAGACAGTGGACATTCTCCACAGGAAGCTGGAGCAGCTGGGTGCAGTGAAGCAGGGCAACTTCTGTGTGGACTGTGAGACCTACCATGCTGCGGGCACTACCAGCGGTAACTGCAGGGCTGGGGGGTGGGGGCAGGAGGTACACTATACCAAAAGCCGTCCTTCTGGGTGTCATATTGTTATGTATTTCACTCGGAAAGATTGCTGCTCATTCTTCTAAGATTCTTTTTGCAACAAGTTGCTGACCTGTGTAGCTAGTGAGAGGTGCAGATCTTTGGATGGCCACAGCTTTTGTACCTTAGGATGAGGCATATTTCCTAGACTGGTTCAGTGAATGGAGCCTTCTTTGTACAATCACTGAAATAACTGTATGCTTTATTGGTGCATTTCTAATATTCATCATATTTATTAATTGGTTTCAAAAAAAGCTTTTGATGGGTCGTATCAATTCACTCATTAAAATCAAAATAAATGGAATCAAGAAAATGAAGCTTAGAAATATGAAAAATCGATTATGATCAGTTATTGGTTCCCGTTGGGTTACACTGACTGTTGAATGACTAAATTCCTCTCCACCCTAGAGAACAGCATTGCTTGCTTTACCTCTGATTATTATTCGTTCTAGTTTCTGTAAGCCAGGGGGGAGGGGAGGTGGCTGAGCAGTATATCCTCTGCCAAACCAATTACCTGCTTTACACACTGCAGGTCATTTATAAACTGGCAAGTATGCTGGTACTGATTAGTGGAGCAAAGCAGCTATGAAATATGAAAGATGCGAGGGGATGTTTTTTCTTCCATTAGCCTTCATCCATGCTTATGCTGCCCTACTTATGCTTCATGCAGGTCAGCCGCCCAAGTTTCTCTATGTGATGCACAACTCGGAGACGCCGCTCAGCTGCATGGGCATGTTCGAGGGCGGCCCCTGCCTCATCGCCGATGGCAACTTTGACGTGCTGATGGTGAAGCTCAAGAGCCACTTCCAGAATGCCAAGGGCCACAAGGTGGAGACGCGCGGGGCCCGCTACCAGTACTGTGACTTCCTGGTGAAGGTGGGGACCGTCACCATGAGCTCCAGCGCTCGTGGGATCTCCGTAGAGGTGAGCAAAGCCAAAGAAGAACAAATGATAGAAGTATAAAGTAGGACATGATATCACATTGCGATATAATTGCAATTACATACTATATACGCAATAATCACCAGGTTTTTATATGACGGACGTAAACATTTGTCTGGACGCCGCCTTTTCGGTACCATAAGGACATTTACTTACATCCATAATTTGGTAAGCAGATTAACTGTAAAATATTAATGAAAGACATATTGTGACACCCAACATTTAAACAGTTAGTAATCTGTATAAATTTAATGTATACTTATGATTATTAAATTCCGCTAGCACTGCATGCCACATGCTTCTGTTTTGGTATATCAGGAAAGCGATAAGTACTGAAGAGGCGGTGAGGAAAGGGACAGTTCAGCAGCCACATCATCTTTTAAAAGAGGAGATATTGTGGATAAACAAGGTAAAAAAGACATTGGAGGTCCAACACATTTATTAATGCACAATACGCCGAATTTATACAGATTGCTAACTTTTGGGCTTCACAATGCGCCTCTCATTAATATTTTAGGCAGACTACTAATCAGTTTACCAAATTGTGGATGTAAGTAAACGTCCATATAATAACAAAAAGCCGGCGTCCAGGCAAATGTTTCTGCCGTCTTCTGAAGCTCTGATGATTATTGCACATGTGCCATATAATCACGACAGCCCTAGAATGAGATAAAAATACTTTATTGATCCCAGAGGTAAATGATTTTGCAGACATCAGCGAGGTACAGAGTGTGCAGATACAAACATGTAGTGCAAAACAAGCATAGTGCAAACGGCACTCGGGATATAAACAGAACATCGTGGAGGAAATGTATAATTTGTAGTGTGATGTATGTACAATTAAAAGCATACAGACTTTTGCTTTGTTAAAGATGAAATGTTGCCCTGTCGTGTTCTGGCTGGGAATGAGGGCTGGAACATTGGGGGGCGGCTCTTGTCGTGTCTGATGGGAGGAAGCAGAAAAGATCCCCAGCCATGCCTCTTTGATTGTTGCAATGAATTGGAATTGTTTTCCACCTGGAATTGGTGCCTGTAGAGGGTGCAGACACGAGTTTCAGAGAAAAGTGCGACCGTGTTGTTTCTCCTTAGGTGCAGGCTGATATGGATGGATGGGTGGAAAGTAGATTTGTTAAGAAACTTAGGGTCAGGGGTGAGGCTGGTGGGAGTGCCTGTGTGTTCCGGAGATGGGGTATAATCTCTGCTGATGTTCCCCCATGCAGGTGGAGTACTGCCCATGTGTCGTGCCGGGGGACTGCTGGAACCTGATGAAGGAGTTCATGCAAAGCTTTCTGGGCTCAAATGTCCCAGAGATGCCCTCTGTGTTCGCTGCCAAGCCGGAGGGACTCTATGCTCTTGCTGACTGCACCGACACTATGACTCAGTACTTAGAGCTGTTCAACAAGGTCCGCAAGCAGCAGGCTGTGCCAGGGAGTGGCGTGCGGTGAGAGGAGTCAGACCCGGACAGGGAGGCGTGGATATCCCACCAGAAAGAGCGACGGAAGGAGATCCAGCAGTAACAGCTGAACAGGAAGTCTGAAGCTTTGGATGGTGTAACCGGCTTTGCAAGCTCTACCAAACTAAATTTGGTGATAGCACAGTCAACAGATTTCATATTTCTAAAACAGCACTTTTTTAAAAAATTGGTGATCAGATGATATTATTGTGACATGAAAGTGTTTGCAGGTGTTGTGCATTTTCATATGTATTAAGGGGATTCAAAGAGTGTGAAATCTTGCAGTTTACTGGCTGTTTCTTTTTCACGCTTTTTTCAGGTTATTAAATCATAGTAAAATATCCAGCAGCTTAGATGGTCACTGCTTTGTCGGTAGATTACACTTTGTGTAAGACTTATCTTCACTGAATAAATTTTTTTTACAATTCTTTCAGTATCTCTGTGGTGTCATGTATAACTTTAAAAACAAGCATTTTACATTAAGCATAATTTTTTAAACAAGTATGCATTTAGACTAAATTAAATGTTCCCAGGGGTGTGACATTTTTTTTACTTAAATCACTAAATTGGTACAAAGACATTGAGCATGTAATTTTAGATATTACATATACTTAGCAAAATGTGTATATGTAATGTCAAAAGTGTTTATAAATTGTTGCAATATTTGATTTGGTGTAAAACTCAATTGGACTGCAAAGAAAAAGCACTCGTAAATAAACAAGGGAGGAATTGATAAGTTTCATAAGAAAATTACGTTTTGTTTGTGTTAAGTATAACGTGGTATAAAAACGTGAATTTCTGTACCTGGCAGCAATATTTTACATAGGAGTATTGTTTCGTCTGGGTTAATAATTTCCCCACACGTGCTTAATTGTTCCCATTGTTTGGCTTGCAGCCATTTTAACCATATTCATCTGAACCCTCGGAACACCCATAAGAAGAATGGAATATACCTACGGGTACTGAGAATGCCAGTAGCTGGAAAGTGAGGCATTTACTTTTCTTAGCAATGGATTTTCGTGTTTTATTTTCCCGGCACAGTTGTGCATCGTTAACTTCCCCCTGCGAAGTTGCTCCGTTGCCTGGGCAGGGCCCTCGTGCCGGACACCTCCAGCCAATCGCAAGCGACTTGAGGCGCCGCGGGATCCACCCACCGAGCAGGTCCGCCGCGCGAGCCGCAGCTGAGGCTCTAAAACGCAGTTATCCATTTCCCCGTAGCTGCATTCCCTCCTCCTTCCTTCCCCTCCCTTCGTCCCCCCCAGAGATGAAAGCGTTGTTTCACGACGCGACCAGATCCTCTCAAACGGGTCTTGCATACTCGGCGTCCTGTACGCTGAACTCTGGTAACCGAGGACTTATAAATGACAAAAATATATTAAAAAGTACGAGAGTGCAAAGCGACTTGTCACAGCGACACGTTTATTACAGAGCCGGCATAATTATAACCGCTAATACCGTAAGCTCAGTGCGGCCCGAGCTCGTTTGAACCCTTTTAACCTCTCCCGTAATCAATAGGATGATCGACACTGCGCCGACCAATGGGAGCCGGCCTTTTCCGGAAGATTGATCACTTCGGAGCCAATCAGAGCGACTTGTTACCGTCTCCACAACTAGTTCGGTTGTCTCGGGGACTGTGACAGCTCGCGCATGCAGATGATGGCGGTAAATAAAACCCTACACGAAACCATAAAAGACGCATATGTGTTTAAATAAAAAAGAAAGGGGCAGAAACTCCAAATGCGTAGTGCATGCCCATTAGTTTTGTTTGATGTCTTACCAGTGTTGTAAATGGAAAGAGTGAAATCTTTTAAAGTTCTGAGTTGTATTCTCTGCCCCCCTGTCTCTTTGAGAATCAATTACTTTAATCCGCGCGGATCTTCTGTTGTTTTGTTTAAAGACTGACATAAAAGTTGACTCTGAATAACATCTCTAGAGACGGCCGGGGCGCCCGGCGGACGCGCGTTTTCCTTCGCCCGCTTGCCCGGGCCGGACCGCTGGAAGTTGACGACCGTCTCTCGCCGGGGGAGAGTTCAGCCGCAGACTGAGAGTGGTCTTTGTTCTGGTAAGTGGCTAACTAGCCATCGAGGCTGCACGCATTGTCAGGTAAACGAGGCAGCCGGCTGGTCTCGTCTTGGGACGGGTGTTGCATGAGTGAGGTTCGTTATTTATTTCATTATTTGCATTTGCTTTACGGATGGCCGTCAACAAAGGCGCCAGCTAAGATCATCGGGGAGGGAAGCTTGGAAAGGAAAAAAATAAAAATTGAGGTGCCGGTAATGAAAACAGGGTAAAGCGACATGGGGGTGGTAGTCAGCAGCAGTGATTTTTTTGGGGGGGGAAGTTTTTTTTTTAATGGCATGCAGAGGCTGCTACACGCTAACCCTCTATGTTACAGGGCGACCGGCAGCAAACGCCTTTTGCGTGGCTTCGCTCCCTCTTTACTTCGCTAACACTCGCTGTTTTGTTTGTGACGAGTTTCGCCGGTCGGTCATTTTTCTCTGTTGCTTGTTCGTTTTGTAGTTTGTGGAGTGACTGTGGCTGCACGTAAGTAGCAGCTGGCCGGCAGAAAAGGCGTTTTTAAAGAGAGAATCGCACTGAGTCGGGAGTATGGATAAGGTGACCCAAACGCACGTTATCTTTTGCAAGCATCGTGCGAAAGCAGCCGGAGACCTTTTCATGGCCTTATTGCCATCGCATAGTTCGGTTAGTTCGCCTGGACCCGCCGCCTGGCCCCTCGTTCTTGCGCCGGGATTCCCGTGAACGACACTGTTGTCCACTGCATGTCCACCATGTGTCCGGTGTTTCGTCTTCTAAACGTGCTTTTCTCATTCTGCAGCTGAGTAAATGTGTTTTCTGGGACGTGAAGGTGTCGTGACAGATGGACGGCGAGGTCTTCTGAAGGTTTTCCGAAGTTGCAATGTTTTTGGAGCACGCCTCTGTTTTAAAGCACAAGCAAACCTCTTTATACTGTAAGCGGGCTTCCTTCGCATTTGCCTATTTTACACTTTAACTCAATTCTTGATATTTCTGCACATTTGAACAGCAGTCGAACCCCTCGATTTGGGACCAGTAATGCTTTGGTCTCAGATTCCTTAAGATATCCACTCTACTTTCGATCAAGAATGAATGCAGATTATCCACTATTATATTTTATTATTTAACATTGCCCAATTAAATATTGAAACGTGTGAATATAGTGTGTACCCTGTCATGCATTGGCTTCCCACTTTAGTCTCCTACCTTGTGCCCTATCCTTCCTGGGTTCAGCTCCCAGGATTACACCGATTCTGCAGCAGAGACGAATTTATGAAGACTGATAGATGAATGGAAAAGAATTTGTCTGCCTTGCCCACTTTGGCTGATTTTAAATTTTAACTGTTTTTCTTAATGACTTGGTCCTGTTTCTGTCTTTCTGCAGTATGAACCTTAGCAAGGCGCCGGGGCGTGCGTCCTGAGAGAGATCGCATGTGCATGTGCAGCGATGGACCGCTGTAAGCACGTGGGGCGTCTCCGGCTGGCGCAGGACCACTCCATCCTGAACCCGCAGAAATGGCGCTGCGTGGACTGCGGCACCACCGAGTCGGTGTGGGCGTGCCTGAAGTGCTCGCACGTGGCCTGCGGCCGCTACATGGAGGAGCATGCCCTCGACCACTTCCAGGCGTCCCGCCACCCGCTGGCCATGGAGGTGCGGGAGCTGGACGTTTTCTGCCACGCCTGCGGCGACTACGTGCTGAACGACAATGCGGAGGGTGACCTCAAGCTGCTGCGGGCAGCCCTGTCCACGGTGCGAGGCGGGTCCACCCGGCGCGCCCTGCGCTCACAGACGTCCGCCGGCGACTCTCCGCTACGTGGGGCCGAGGGCGGGAAGGGCGACGCCGGGGCCCGGCCCTCCATGCAGGCGGCACTGCTGCACAGGCGGCGCGTGTTGCTGGCCAGGGTCCTGCACGCCTGGCAGAGCCGGCGGCGGGACAGGCAGCGGCAGCGGGAGCAGGAGCTGGAGCAGCACAAGGAGGAGCTGCGGCGTCGCCGGCAGGAGGTGAAGAGGAGGGTCCTGGAGGAGCTGGCCAGCGTCCCCCCCAGGAAGAGCGCACGGCTGCTAACCCAGCTGCCTCGGCGTACGGCCCTCATCCCCCGCAAGTTCCGCGACCCCCCGGAGCGGGTGCCCGTGGCGCGGCCACACCCGGGTCCTCTTCTGAGCTTCCGGCAGAAGCCTCTCGACGGAGCCGGTTCTAGAAGGTTCCGCAAGCACTCCTCCACCAGCGCGGTGGCCCGTCGGAAGGTGGCGCCGGGTGTCACGGGGCTGCGTAACCTGGGGAACACGTGCTACATGAACTCCATCCTGCAGGTGCTGAGCCACCTACAGAAGTTCCGTGAGTGCTTTCTCACGCTGGACCTGTGCGAGACCGAGGAGCTCCTGGCCAAGACGAGACGCTCGCAGGGCACACGGGTGGTGTCGGGTGGCCTGGTGAATAGCGCCCCGGTGTCAAGGGGGACTCTGGGCCGCGTGGACAAACTGGGGAGCGGGGGGTGCCTCACCGTAGGCGGCAAGCAGGGCCTGAGGCCCAGCCTGAACGCCGCCGAGCTGGTCCAGCCCAAGGAGCCGCGATCCTCCACCCGGCACCAGATGTCGCTGTGCCATGAGCTGCACACCCTGTTCCGGGTCATGTGGTCGGGCCGCTGGTCACTGGTGTCCCCGTTCGCCATGTTGCACTCCGTGTGGAACCTGATCCCATCCTTCCGGGGCTACGACCAGCAGGACGCGCAGGAGTTCCTGTGCGAGCTGCTGGACAAGGTGCAGCAGGAGCTGGAGTCGGAGGGCACCAGGCGAAAGATCGTCATCCCCATTTCCCAGCGGAGGCTCACCAAGCAGGTGCTCAAAGTACTCAACACTATCTTCCACGGACAGCTGTTGAGCCAGGTGAATATTCGCCGTTTCCCGGCCCCGTCAGATGTGTGACTGATAACGCACCTAGGTCAGTAATGCCATCTGCGCATCGCTCTGCATGACATAGACATAAGCAGGCAAGTTGCAAGGCTCTTCCATGGAGACCATCGACCTTCTAAAGGCTCTACACGACTTTCTGTGTGCTATCCTTCTGCATTGAGAGCACTTGTAACATACTGAAGAGTTTTCCTTTGAGTGATTCCTTTACATCAAGGGTAACCAGTGTTATCCGCAAAAGGGCCGGTGTGTGTGCAGGTTTTTGGAATAACCTTTAGGTCAGCTGTTCAAACCCAGGTGTGAGGACTCTTCAGCCAATCAGTCCTCTAATTAGCAATCTAATTAGGGAGCTGCAGCAAAACCCACACACACAACGGCCCTTTCTGGATAAGACTGCCCACCCCTGCTGTACATCTTCAAAAGAATTATTATTTGAAATACGTTAAATCTTCCGCTAAACATCAGCTTAATATGAATTGTTATAGGATTGTGAAGTTTGTCCAACATTCACAGATTTTGCAAAGAGGGACTGATTTACATTTTTGAATAGATTTACGTTTCCCTTTGTCTAGCGCGGTGGCGGGGGGGGGGGGGGTGGTAGAGTAAACCTGCACAGGTGCTTATTGTGATGAGTAGAGGCGCTGATTCAGCTGCTGCCCACTGCATGTGGGTTCAGTGTGAGGCACGCAGGTGGCCTGATCTGTTTCTGTGTCCTGAAGTTTATATATTTCAAGGATGCACTGCTGTGAGTTTGGTTTCTGTCCTGTTACATGGGTATGGATTTTTTTTACGATTTCTAACTGCCTTTCTGAGCATTTAGAAAATTGCTGTTTTTTTTTTTTACCTCTGAGTTGTATCAACAGATTATTGAAGCAAATTTGATCATTTTTGAGTATGATTAGAAATGAGGTTAATATTATGGGTTTCTTGAATTATCTTTAGAAACACAAGACAAAATGTAATATCGGTTATGTATGAATCATTTGCCCATAAACAAAAGGCTTGGCGTTTTAATTTCCACTAATGCACTTGTCTGGGAATAATCAGACAACAGAGAGGCTGGCTGTGATTATGTTTCGCCACACAATTTTATACGAATGATTTATTTTTCTTAAAATCATTTCCTTAGCAGTTTCTATCTGGGCTCAGGTAAGTTAATTTAAACTTTGATTAATGCAGTATTTCGTTGAATGTTCCAGTAGAATTCTGAGTGGTAAGTGTCTGGCAGGGTCGCTGGTCGCTGTCCCTCATCGCTGCTCCGTCTCTTCCTGGCTCTTCAGGTGACTTGTCTGTCCTGTAACTACAAGTCGAACACGGTGGAGCCTTTCTGGGACCTGTCTCTGGAGTTCCCGGAGCGGTACCACAGCGTGAGCAAGTCGGCCAGCACTCTGGCTTGCCGCCGCAGCTGCTCGCTCACGGAGATGCTGGCCAAGTTCACCGAGACCGAGGCCCTGGAGGGGAGAATCTACGCCTGCAACCACTGCAACAGTCAGTACTGCACCTCTCTTCTGCTGCTGTCTCCGGCGCTCTGTCTTTCCGTCGCGATATTTGCTGCAGTCCGGCTGGGTTTGTTGATGGTTTAAGGGACACATGGCCCTGTGAGCCAGATTCAGATCTCATTAATGTTGACTGGAAGTTGTTATGAAATGTTTATATTTTTAACAATCTGAATTGTTACAATGTTACAATGAACAAAGTTCTGAAACGGACGTCATGTGTGAGTGGTGAACATGCTCTAGTCTATCACAAGGACGTTTCTAAAAAGATGCGGGTAACCTGTTAGGTTAATCAGGTTAACTGGGCATTTCTCCATGGTGAGCTGTCGTCGCTTCTTCTGTCAGGTAGAATGCCAGCATTAGCTTTCAGGAACTCAGATTTCATGTTTGCTGCCTTGTTAGTCGTCTTAAGCTCATTGATCCGCAGTGTTTTGGTTAGTTCAGCAGTGCTGTGGAGGAGACCGCAGTCCGCAAAAGGCAGTCGCAACAAATCATGGCAGAGCTGCTCCTACTTTCTCGTGTTGTTGATGCAGGGGGAGGACTTACTATTGTTTAGTTGCTTTTCCTAGCATTTAACAAAGTCAAAGTATGCTTATTGGCAAGGACTGACGTTACTCGTATGCACACGCTGTATATGAGTGAAATTGTATGGTCATGTCTTGTCGTAACAGCGCAAACGCATATACAATAAGTACGCAGAAAGAAATTACCACACATTTTAAGCTGCGCACCAAAAATGCGTAGTCATGCAGCGCATAACGACGTTTCGGTCTCTGACAGATTACATACATGATTCTAGTCCCATAAGATTATAATGATACTGGAAAATTCCCATCGCATGTTAAATTCTAATCTGGACATTTTACATAATATACAAACCATCTCAGTTATGCCCCTGTATGTACACAGTCACTACTGTACACATTGGGAGCACCTCTGTTTTGGACCCATTGGTAGAAATTACCAGCACTGTAAAGTTACTGCGAGAATTCCGCAGTCACAAAGACATCTAATGCATAAGTGAGGCTGGTTGCTGAGAGAAAGATGTATGTACCAGAGCCTAGACTAATTTAATAGTAAAGGCATACTATGCATTTACTCTAACATTGCTAAAATGTGTGTTATATGATTTTATGTGATCCAAATCATTTTTGGTATTGATTTTGGCTTTTCTGCAAGTTTCTACAGTATTTCTGCAAAAAAAAAAATATTCCTGTTTAATTGCTCATTGCCGACTCGCGATTAAACCATGTGAAATGCACAGTTGTGAAGGAGTTACTGAATAGCGTATACAGTGATGTTTAGTACATAATACTTGATAATGATGATAGCTGTTTACTATACCGTACTTCTGAATCATTATTTAAGCTAGGTGTGTACCATCTGGGTTTGTAAGTACACATTGTGGTGTTTGCACAATGACAAAATCACCTAACAACGCATTTCTCAGAATCTACCCCTCTAGCTGATCGATGAGTGTATTTGCGTATCAGTTATGTCAAGCCTGGCTTTTTTGCTGTGTCCTAAAGCCTTGTGCTTCCGCAAACATAAACATGCTGTAACTTATGTTTTTTATTGGAGGACAATTTTCATTGTTTCTGCAAGGAAATGGCTGGTAACCTGTCCTAGACTGTGAAGCCAGTGGCCTGCCTCTTAGCAGACGGTTCACAAATAAGATCTCTAATGACAAAAAGGAAAGAATCCTGGATTTATAGCAGAAAAAGCAATCACTTAACATTCTCGCTTACTGTGGAGTTGCACCTGTAATTACCCTGCAACAAATGGTGCACAAATCCCTAATTGGGCAGTTACCTTTTGTCTAAACGAACAATAAAATGGGCACTAATTCTAATGAGGTTTCATATTTGGGGTGAGCCAGTGGATTTTTACTAAAACAGGCAGTACTGGAAGGTTTTTTTTTTCCCCCAAATTAAAAATAAAAAATCTGGTAATATTTGTTTTTTCATCAAATACTACCAGAAATACAGACCAGTTTCTGCATTTTTTTTATTATGAGTGGGGTTTACGTATTTGGCTGATTCCAGCTTGCAGTCTTGTAAATTGGCAACCTCACCAGCTAGCTACCAAACTGCTGAGCGTGGGCTACGATTGGTTAGCTGTCCCGTTTGTGCAGAGTGCAGCGAGGATTAGCAAGGATTAGCAGGATTTTGTGGGAACCGCATTGCTGCAGTTAATGATCTCCTCTCCTACATTTTGCTGTTCTTATCTTAGAACCCTGGGAGAGGGAAACGGCAGAGTCTCCTCTTTTTATTAAATGTACGCTGTGACATTTTGATCACCAGGATTATGACTAATTCTAATGCCAGTATGCTGCACATTCAGTACAAATATTTATATAAGTTTAGTTACATCAAAATATATCGTTCCATTATCTGCCATACTGTCTGCATTTATAATAATAATCAGTATTAATCAAAGTTTAACATGATGCACCAGTTGGGCTACTGTGGTTTTTATTATTTATGCAAATAACTGATCTGTACCTTAAAATGCACCAGTGGAAACCTCACGTTTTTAGTGTGTCCCTGAATTGCAGATTATTTCTGAAGCACATGCATAAATTAGACATGCTAATGACTTCATAGATTACGAGCATCCAGTGCAGGGGTGTGCAGAGCTTGTAATTAATTTTTAATTAATGCCCTATAAAAGGAGTGTGTCTTTATTCAACACTGTTATCCACTGTATACAGCTGAAGTTTGAATGATTCTTTCAGGCAGAATTTATTTCTCCTTAGTGCTTGTTTTGTCAATGTGTGCCGTTCTTATGATGTTATGTATTTGCCTCTTCTTTGTGCCCTTGGTAATTGCTGGTCAGTACTTTGCATGTATCGTGTCGCTTATCAGAATCCTTAGCCGGAATTGCAAATAGTAACTGGAAAATCTCAGATTTAAGACGGATCGTGTACTGCACCACTTGAAACACTATCCAGGGAAATTCAGATACCACTTTCAGTTTTGCGTTGATTATGTAGAGGCTTGGGACGTGTATGGAGTACGCACACGGAGTATCTAGATTTCAGGGACAGTGGAAGGTTTTACACTTTGTGAGAGAAATTGTAAGTTTTTCAGTCTTTTAAAGCATGTAGCCTGTGTCACGGACTGCATCTGTCTGTCTTGTGTGGATTAATTTTGGTGTCATTTCATCAGTCTATGAAATTATTTTAAAAAGGCCACAAAAAGAATTCAAGATGTAGGCTTGTGTGTCACTAGTCTTAAGTGGCAGGTCGTTGTGGTTGCAAGGCTTAATCAATCATACCTTAGGTTGACACAGATATTAGTACAATAACACCACTATTTTGAAACGGAATTAATGCAACTGTGATTGTATTCTTAGTTATTGTTTGAGAAATGGCAGAAAAAAGGATGTGAAGCTGCTGGGCCAGTGTGCCTTTTGTATATGTAACAACCGATAGCATAGACTGGTGGAGAGAGAGCATTTCCTGCAAGGTTTTCAGAGTTGGATTGTTTCACCCAAAACCGAATGACATCCTTCTGAAACAAACAACGGTACTTCTATAAAGGCTTTCATACCAAATCCGACAGATTCATGTTGTCGTGATCCATGTATATACCAATACTGCTGATTTTCTTTTCATTGTGATTTGGATTCGATGCAAGGTTGGTATTACAGATACTGATGCTCTGTGACACTCCAACCCTGACAATAAATAACAATTACGGATCCGGGGGGAGGATTTGCCGTGGATTGATCATTCCATTTCCATATAGAGTCTGAGCAGCTCCTCCTTTCTCTCTAATTACGGGTGGACCTGCCCAATAGTAGGACATATCCTGCTCTTTATAATATAAATATTTAACTTGCAAGGTGAAAAAAACTTAATTATTTTAATGTTGGAATCGATTCTTAAATTCAGATCAAAAGAATCTGTATTAGCCTGTCTGATGACATGGGGCATGTTAAGCTATTTGCAGCTGTTTTGGTTGTTTGTATTTGTTGGTTTTTCCAAAGTTGGTTTTTGTAATATATGCTGCATGGCTTGTATTAGGCTGTGGCTATGAATCTCATTACTTGATTTATTCACTCATCTGTATGTAGTCAGAAACGTATCTTTAAAAATAAATAAACAATACTCCCTCATAGTTATTTAACTGATACAGATGGATACATCCAAAGCTTTTTCACCATCTGAAATGGTCATTGTAAAGTTTCTTTTAGAATTGGGTGTATACAGTATATTCACCTTTTTTCACACTTGTTTGCTCAAAAGAAACAAGAAAAACTTGTTGTCACTGCTACTTGTGCTTGTCGCTAGTTGGGCAGTCAGTTCCTGTCAGTATGCAAACTTCTCAATCAGTTGCAAAAGAATTTGCGTCATGTTTGGTGTGAAAGTTATTGATCCATCAAATTTGCATCCACATGTTTTCACTAATTCGTGTTTCTTGGTGTTTTATTTGGGGCGAAACAGTTTTTGTTTCTGGTACAGAGATGTGATGCCCAAATGCAGCGCTGTACTCTTTCACTAGTGATTTCATGGTAATTGCAAAAAATTCATAGTTATCATTGAGGAGGTCTAGCAGTGATTTTATTATTCCCACGTTTGTTTTCAAGAGCTGAAATACTGAAAAGCTGGATTTTATTTATATATTTGCTCGATGCTGATTGAACAGCAACTTTCCCTTGAGTTCATGTGCATATTCTTGTCTCTCTAGTATTGCTCATTTGTGCCCAGGTTATGGGAGATACTTTGTAGTTAAGTCATTAATGCAAATTCAATAACTCGCAAACAATTAGAAACAAAAGTAACCATGCATAAGGAACACTGAAACTCACATCTTATTTCTCTTATCGTTGTCGTTTATGCATTGCCTTGTGGGTTCGCTAATTTCATGTTTTTAAATGTGTTTCAGGGAAAAGGCGTAAATCGTCCCATAAGCCGCTCGTTCTCACAGAGGCGTGTAAGCAGCTGCTCATCTGTCGGTTACCTCAGGTCCTGCGGCTACACCTCAAACGATTCCGGTGAGTTGGTCTCTCTGTTTCCATCACTGCTCCCCCCCCCGGTCAATATTCTGTACTGTCCGTCCCCAGTCCCAGTCCCCGTCCCCTCTAATGTGGGTGCACCGCATTCCCTCTTACAGGTGGTCAGGACGCAACCACAGGGAGAAGATTGGTGTTCACGTAGCGTTCGACCAAGTTTTGAACATAGAGCCCTACTGCTGCTCGGAGTCCTCATCCTCCCAGATGAGGAAGGGCCTGACCTATGACCTCTCTGCCGTCGTCATGCACCATGGCAAGGGGTTTGGCTCAGGCCACTACACTGCTTACTGCTACAACACCGAGGGTGGTGAGTACATGGCCATTGGCTGAGGGGTGGGGTGGCAAATGGCTACTTGTCAGTTAGCTATTTTGAGCTAATTCCTTCCCCCATGGATCCCTAGTCTTCTGGCTTCAGGCCCAGATGTGACTCTGCTGCTTTTCATGTGTCAGTGTATCTGCTGCTGACTGTAACCTCTAACTATCTCACTGTTGGTGTATTTAAGGTTAGGAAGGATTTGCTGGCATTTATGAACATGGCTAATCCATTTTAATATGACAATAGTTTGATGGGGGGAAACAAAAACAGATACTACTTTTAGTTTATGTAAATCCATATAAAATGGATAAAAAAAAAAAAAATCGTGGTGTTTTTGAAAAGTAAGGAATGAAAAATGCATATAGGATTTAGATAAAAGAATTGTTTAATTTTTCTGTAATTCCTGGCCCATGCCATATTTAATCTTGGCTTTTTGTGGTATTTCTGGATATTTGCTCCTTGACATAAGGACACAGCCCTGCGCAGTAGTAACTCCTCCCTCCTTCCTCCTCCCTCCTCACCCCTCCTGCAGGTTTCTGGGTTCACTGTAATGACTCAGAGATGAACGTGTGCAGCGTGGAGGAGGTGTGCAACACTCAGGCCTACATCCTGTTCTACACTCAGCGATCCGCCCAGACCGATGTGGCCTGATACCCCCCATCAGCCCCCCCAGGCACACCCCCGCAGCTGGGCAGCCTGGTCGGGCAGGACGGGCAGGAATCATCAGTACAGCGGTTCTGGTTTTACGCAAGTTTAAAATGCGCGGTTTTTAAACGACACCATATATCCTTAAGGATATATATTTTTTAATTATGTGGTGCGAGTCAAAATAACAAGAATCGCATAGTTATGCCGTTTTTATTTTTCGTTAAGGGAAAAACAGGTGAAACTTGAAGTGCGCACGTGTTTCCAGGACACAACTTGTGTAAATGGTGAGCCCTCTGTATCTTTTTATGTACTCGGGGGGTGGGAATCCTGACTAATAACCCAGCTGGACCCACAGGGCCAGTTACCAGAAGCCACTTTGGATTTGGTCAGGCTAGTGGCTCGTGTGTGTATGGGTCAGGTCAGGTCCGGTGACTTTACGTTGGGGGAACAAGACGTAGCTTTGACGTTGTGTTAAGGATGGTGCGAGAGTGATATATACAAATCAGGAATTCTGCAATTTTTGTACTGGAATGTTTTCTACACTGCTGTTTTTCTTTTTTTAATTATTTTAAAATTTCTGGAGTCCTAAACATCGTCTTCTCAGACACGAATGGTTACAATTGCTGTTGTTGACATAGAAAATAAAAATTTGCTTCATGAACTGTAAGTTATAGTGACGTCTCGTGACATTGGGCATTCCGTTCACACACTACAGCTGTACTGCCTGTTTGGTGCTGGGTTTTCGGTGAAGCTTAATTCAGCCAGTGGCTGCTGGTTTTCCAGCCTGTGTTCTGCATGGTCGGATCTCTTGATAAGGTCCAGCGGAACCATCAAGAGGCTGCCTGAATGAAAAACAAAACCAAAAATTAAACAAAAACAAACAAATCTGTCTTGTCACCTGCATATGATTTTGCATGCGAACACTAATCTACACTGTGTGGACAATGAGCACCGGTCCCCCAGGCAGCTAGAACTAGTCTGGTCTGTGGTTTAGCGCCTAGGTTCATGAATAATACATTTAATTTTCATAGTGGTTTTCAAGAACCCAAACATGCTTTAACCACAATAGGCGTGAAAACACAGACGTGAGAGACTGAAAGAAAAACAAACAGCAAGTCAATACAGTATTACTTGTATAGCTCATTTAAAAATAATTCTTAATCCAAAGTGCTGTACAAAAAAAGAGAATTAAAACTTACAAGACATAATAAAACATAAAGCCAACTTAACAAAAAGAAGTTTTAGGAAATGATTGAAAAATGATGCATATTTTAATTAAATTTAGATAGTAATGACAGATCGAGGACAAATTAAAACCACTGGAACTTTTAAAGCATTAAAAGCTAAAAACATCAAACAAACCCAAATGCTAAGGAATAAAAATGAGTTTCAAGCCATGACTTAAAAGTGGTAATGCAGGGAGTACCGAGCTATTCCGCAGTCTGGAGCAGGCAACTGACGACGAGTGGTCACCTTTGCTTCTTCGGTTGGTCTGTGGAATTGAAGAAAGCATTTCATTAAAGGATCTAAGCCACAGGAGTGGAGTAAGAGTCATGAAGATCGGAAAGCATCATAGTAATGAAGAAATAAATAGTAGGTTTAAGAATTATTTCCAATTAAAGTTTTTTTTTGTTAATTCATTTGAAAGTTGTTTGTGTCCATGCATGCAGCAAGTATCTGACCCTCATACACTGTGCACTTATTCCAATATGGGCTAATGGTTCAGCCATAAAAGTTCATTCAAATGTTTGAGATCATGGCACCTTATTTGTCTGGCAAATAAGCAAATTCTGAATATGGAAGCGGGCTGCTGCTTATCCCCACCGCTGGTTTCAAAATAGTAACAATTATATTTATTTAGGAGATGCTTTTGTCCGAAGTGAGCACATGTGAGCCCGATGGTGCGTTACCAGCATGCCCCTGTCCAGGGGGCAGCTAGGCACCAGTGCGGCTTGCCCAGTAACAAGTGCAAGTTAACATCAGGGCAAGAGATGGACATCTTCAGTGGGATGTTTCACATGGTGGTTAGATCTCCAGGTAGCACTGACTTGCTGACAGAAGCGGACGATACAGAATGTATGCCTTGATTAGCAAGATTCGGCTAACCATTAATTAATCATTACTAAACATTTTAGTGTGTGCTCACCCATTCATATAATGGGTAAACGCATTGTTAAACCAACTACCACTACATCATCACTATTATTATTATTATTATTATTATCCATCCATCCATTTTCCAACCCATTTATCCTTCCGGGAAATTATGGGCATGAGGCAGGGGACAACCCATCACAGGGCACAAGGCAGGGAACAACCCAGGATG